AGAACGAGTGCATGTCCTTTCATTTGCCATGTCGCTAAGATTAGTGGATTTCCTTATCGTTCGGAATAAGTGGGATGGGAAATCCTGGTATACAATACCTTGGGTTACAAAACCCTGGGTTAGATATCAGCCGGCGATGATGCTAGAGATCGGTGCATGTATTGTAGAAGTTCATTTAGTAGATGCTATTTAATATTTTTATCTGAAAATATGTAATGTGAATGATTAATGTAAAGGCAGTGTTCTATATATATTATCTAGACGAAATTTACAAGTAATATCAGAAGACTTTTAGTGCAACCTTAGAATATTGAACAAGGAAATACTTGATGTTTATTAGATGCTCTAATTATATGCTTACCTGTTATAAGTTCAGATCTATTTTCAGCCTAGGATCCCAAACATGGGTCAGAATTCAATATAACAGGCAGGTCGTCAGAACGCCTGTAGTTGCAAAGAATGCATTCATTCCTTTCTCTTTCATGGAATCCACTGATCATAGTTGATGCTACTATGTTCAATATATATTCACTGAAATCAAGGTGTTCCAAGTGGCGTCGAATAAGGTCATAATAATTCAGAAATATAATTTACTTAAAATGCATTGGGAATGGGGTCAAATATCGGCCAAAAATCTGGCAGACCAAGAGCCCTGGCGACAAAAACGAAAATTAATAGTTACAAGCTTATTGTATGGCGTAACATGGAGTATCTTGCTTGTTGCCAGTTTCATCCATGCCTTATGAAACTTAAGATAATTCAGACGAATGAAAAAGTGTATAGGTAAATGATTAATTTCTAGGTGAATGTTTACTGGTGCAATTGTTTTTATCTAAAGAAAATAAAAGTTGCCTTACTGTCACGAATAAATATATGAAGTAGTATATCACTGGGTTTGTCAATTTAATTCATAATATCTTATGTAAGTAGGCAGGGTTGAAACTGGTTAACTTGGCAAAGTGTGGTATCATGGTTAATCTGTTATAAGGATGCGTCGTTGATCACATAAACTTCAACTGTAAAATAGTTTAGCTGAATGTTTTGCATATACTCGCACTTTTCAGCTTTAATTAATATCTATTAACATGTCTCTCTGATAACATTCCTCTCCATCACTGACTAAAGAAGAAGTACCTTTCACTCTGATGTATTCTGCTCAGCTGTATAAATGGTATACTCGCATTATGTGATACTGTCATACTTGTTCAACAAACTGCACAATGGTGCACCAACGTTTTGAGAGCAATGCTTCTCCATTATAATATACTCTTCTTGGAACCATAGTATATAATGTTATTGTTATATTTTATTGATTTGCATAAAGTATATTTTAAAGGCGATTAATGGAATACATGAACTGGGCTAATATTTATCATACAGTGGGAAATGGGTACTAATGATAGAGAAAAAGTGTTGCACACTCTATGGATTTACGCATATATACTTTTATATATTCCTAACATATTGTGAGGTTAAAATATTCAGAAAAAAATTAAGCGAGTTTTCGCTGCATAAGGAAACAACATAGTGTTTCATTTTTATACGCCGCCGGAGGTAGTCGTATATTGGCGTCATCTTCTCCGTCTAAGCATACGTCCGTCCGTACGTCCATTTCTTGTGAACGCATCTCCTCCTAAACTAATCATCAGATTTTCACGAAACTTGCTCTATGTCACTACTACAATGTATAGATGTGCATGAAGGGGCAATTTTTTGGTTCGTTGATTTTTGTAAAATTTATGCCAATTTCAACTTTGTATCTGTAGCTTGCTCTTAGTGGAGCCTTGTGAACGCAACTCCTAAAATAATCACCAGATTTTACAGAGGTATATGATAATTATACAGCAGCATATGATAATTATACAGCAGCATATGATAATTATACAGCAGCATATGATAATTATACAGCAGCATATGATAATTATACAGCACCATATGATAATTATACAGCACCATATGATAATTATACAGCAGCATATGATAATTATACAGCACCATATGATGACTATACAGCAGCATATGATAATTATACAGCAGTATATGATGACTATACAGCAGCATATGATGAATATACAGCAGTATATGATGACTATACTGAAGCATAAGAAGACTATACAGTAGTATACGATCACTATACAGCAGTATATGATGACCATACTGTTGCATATGATGACTTTAGAGCAGTATATGATGACTATACAGCAGTATATGATAATTATACAGCAGCATACGATAATTATACAGCACCATATGATAATTATACAGCAGCATATGATCATTATACAGCAGCATATGATAATTATACAGCAGCATACGATAATTATACAGCAACATACGATAATTATACAGCAGCATATGATAATTATACAGCACCATATGATAATTATACAGCACCATAAGATAATTATACAGCACCATATGATAATTATACAGCACCATATGATAATTATACAGCAGCATACGATAATTATACAGCACCATACGATAATTATACAGCACCATACGATAATTATACAGCAGCATATGATAATTATACAGCACCATACGATAATTATACAGCACCATATGATAATTATACAGCACCATATGATAATTATTCAGCACCATATGATAATCATAGAGCTCCTAAACCCCTAAAGTTGAATGAATAACTTTATTAAAAACCGAAATGCTCTTATAATCGTTAACATTACAAGCTAGAAAAATCTTGCTTGCCACAGACGAAGTTTAATGCGCAAATATCCATCGGGGTGATTCAAATATAATTGTCAAAACAACAACAATCCAAGGTGTTGGAGTAGCATCCCGATTCTGGTCCCTTCAATTTCGCATTGGTTGATAAAACTAAGGGAAAGCGTTCGTTCGCAAAATCTTTTAAACACCTCCTCCTTACAGAAGTACATATTCCCACCTTGTAGGAGTTGCATCCGAATATACATATATATATATATATATATATATATATATATATATATAAACAAGAGGCCTAGTGGCCTTGAAGGTCACCTTAGATAAGCGATATTGAATATAAAGGTTAAAGGATAGTGATCACATGTCATGAAACAGAAATTGTGACACTGAATATAGACAGTGTCAATACATGTATTCCATAAAAACTGACATCCTATATTGATAATTCTTATCAAGTTATTTATATGCTAAAAAAACCTTTCTTTTCTATGAAAATTACAGTAAAGTCTAAAAAAATATTCACCCCAGGAAGAAATGTGAGACTCATTTTGGTAATTAAAACACTTTAAGATGCTTCCATTTATGATGAGCATTTGATTACACCATGTCTGGATTTTGAAATATAAGTCAATTTGAGCCCTTCTGGCCCTACCCCTCAGCCCCACTGGGGTGGGGACTTTATAATTCACAATATTGGTTCACTTTTAGCCGGGGCAGATTTCTTTAAAATTTCATTGAAATTGCATCAGGGATTTTTGAGAAGAAACCGAAAGTGTTAAATTATTTACGGACGCACGACGCCGCCGGATGAAGGGTATTAAGATTAGGTCACCATGACACAGGTAACCTAAAAACAATAAAAAAAATTACAAAAAAACAACAACAAGAAATACAAGGTATTTTCAATTATTTTTAACAATATTTTCTCTGATAGAATTTGTTAAATACTATACATAATAAATTAGTGATTTTAATTGAGTCAGGCAGAAATGTAACAGAACTTCTATTATAGCACACTGGCAATACAAGATAAAACTAATTGGCAATGACTTCAAACTTCTCATTTGGAAAAAAAATTAATGGGTGTCATTGAAGACACAATTTGCCGGGAAGTTTCCAAATTGTCCAAATGTTTGCACGTGTGTACATGTATGTGTGCACGTGTGCACATACATATATATATACATGTATGTGTACGAGTTTACATGTGCACAAGTGTGCATGTGTGGACGTGCATGTAGGTTCCTGTGTACATGTATGTGTATGAGTCTATATATGTACATGTGTGCACGTGTGACCATGCATGTACTTATGTGTGTACAGGTTCATGTATTGGTCAGTAAAACGATTGTTTGATCCATTAACACGGCAGTAAAAGAACATCTCACTTCGTTTAAGAAATTATGATTTCAAAAAATCTTTTTGAGTTGAATTTTTCAACACAGCATTGCCTAATCACTTGGTTAGTAACAAGTAAAACCTTTCTCAGTATAAACAAATTAATACATAGTTGATGGTTTATGGTTTTCTCATTCTCACGAACTGATACACCATCTTTTTTACAACTAGGTGGACTAAAACGATCAATTCATGTTTGACGTAAAGCTCAAACACACACATATGTATACTAATACAGAGAGTTAAAAAGATAAACCAAATCCACTCTGTTGCTTATGACTAGTAGCGATTTGTAGAAAAAGTTGACAGACGAACGAACAGATGACGGACGCCACGACATGCTAACAGCCTTGGGCCAGGTAAGCTAAAAAGATATGACCAGCAACTCCTCAACTCCAGTTTCTAAACGGTATAATCAGCTTTCTTCTACAGCTAGTTGGTAATATGGCTTAACTCAGTCGCAGCTTTCATAGTGTGCATGTAGTTAGGAGTTTCAAGAGAGGTCATGTGATGATAGCAATAGATTATGACGTCATCTTAAAATGACAAGGAATTACTTCAGCAAGACAGGCATAGTGTATTTATAATTGGTCTATAATCTGAGATAAAGATGGAGCTTATGGGGATTAAGATGTGTCCTTGATAATAGTGTAAAATTTGCACAGGTATGATTTGTATGGACTATGTGGATAATAGTGGAGATTTTGGTGATCTGGTTTAATATACACAAAGTAATATCATTTTTTTGTTTCTTGGAATACAGTAATGTTAGACAATTATATGTATACTACCTTCGAAAATACATAAAAACATAATTTACTGTTTATGCATTAGTAAGATACACAAATCTGAAAGCAAATTTAGAAAACATTTTCCCAAATTATGTATTAAAACTTTACAATGCCATTTGGAACACCTTGGGAATTTATTTCTGAAGAAAATCCTCTGAAATGATAATATCAGATAATAATGAATTATCACATGAAATGAAGGTTGTGTGATAGTTCATGCGTTGTGAGCCAATGTACATCACTGGTTATAATAAGAGATGAAAATCCTTTCTTCTAAAGAATTTTACAGTTCATTAATCAACACATATAAATACTAGAAAGGGAATTCTTGTAAAATCTAATTTAGTTATCATTAAAGACTTGAGAGATCTTTCAGCACCTGAAGAAGTCCTTCCCTAGCTGATCCTAAACCATCTTTTAGAGAAGGCTGTATACTTTGTCCATGATAAACAGATGCTGCCCCCAGCAGGGCCCCCATTGCTGCCCCTCGGTGACAATTTTCACCTGAAACAGAACACATGTATTACACACAAACAAAAAAGAAAAAAAAACACACAAAAAGAAGGAAACCTTCCATGTGTTAAATAGTTATCAAATATCACCTGAATCAGCGTAATTTAATCTGTTATTTGAAACGGCTGTAAATTAACCGAAACAAACAGATTTCTACTTTCTCATTTTATTGTTTATTAATTCAAACAGGGGATTCAAGTAACAAAACATGTAATTTTGTACTCACTTCCTTCCACACAGGCGATAGAGATCATATATTTTACAGAATGTCAATAAAAGACATTAAAATTTGCTTTTAATACGCTTCTAGAAAAGGTGTATAAAGCTACAGATCATACTAACATAAAACTATGAGTTAATTAACACATGATCAAAGTGGCACTAGAAAGCTTTCTCCTGTTATAGAAAACATTGTTACTAGACTTAACGTGTCAAGCACAGATATAGACTCTAACAATGAAAAATACAGCACTGCAATGTCCATACACTCTAGTGAAGTACCTGGTCACAGTCCTTCAGTAAAACAGGCAAACAAATCAGTTTCTCTCAGAATTCTTACATTTTATCATTCCCAACTGCATGCAAGCAGGCTAACTGTCTTCATATATTGTGTAAACGTGCTAATTGTTAACGTACAGGTAAATCTACAGAATGGTGACACAAATTAAGAAGCCAACATTTAATTGGAAAAATAAACTGGTAATTAACCGAAAGAGATCAAGTGCTGTGAGTACACGTAGTAACTAAAATACACAGGTGACTTTCGACTCTATGTATGTATCTACTGATATCGTACCAATGTTTTGACAAAAATGATTTTGATACAACGTATGACTTCTAATGCTTTAGAATTGAAGGGGTTGAAAATCACTTCAACTCAAACAATATTTTGACTAAACGAAATTCTGGTTATCCGAAATACAATCACAAAGATAAGAAGGAAAAAAATCAGGACTTATTTCAACTCAAACGAAATTTTGACACAAGCATTTTTGAGACAAGTTCCAACTGTATTTAAGAAATATATCACAATCAATTTTTTAAGTTGAAAAATCAAACACATTTTGCAATTTTTTAAAAAAATATTTTCACATTTGCGAACTTTTATTTTGTAACTTTCAATTAAGTGTCTGAAAATGGTAGAAAAGAGTACAATAAGTTGAACATTTGAAAATTAAAAAACATACCAAACATTTCCAAATTCTTAAAAATCTTAATGATTTTGAAAATTCAAACCAATACTTGAAGACCTTCAACATTGAATAACAATTACAAACCTCCACAGTTTGCATTCATTAGAACACCCATGTTGAAGTTGTCCTTGAATTGTGTTGTAAGGAAGAGGAGACTACTCATGGCGCCCTCTATATAACAAGCAGAGCCCAGACGACCAACAGCTGACTGACACGTTACTAACTGGCCCTCTGATCCCTGGGGATACCTTACAAAAGATACAATGGACAAGATAAGTATAAACTGCAAATTCCATTCTCAAAGTAAACCTTGTTTTAATTGCAAATTTCACTTTCAAATTATGCCTAAACTAAATTGTGTCTTAGATAATACTTTGTTTCTTGGATGTTGCATACAATGATTAACAAAGGCATTGGGAAAAATCAGCATTTTAAACTACCTTGAGTTGTATCTCCTTCATCGTCTTTTCCATCTTGTTTAAATAAATCCATGTGAATAAATGTCTAATTTAATTTGAATGGTTAATTAAACCTGTTAAATCTTTTTAGTAGCATCTGCAATTTTACCAAATGCAAATTACAATATCACTTCATTTCACAATAAATGTCTGCATTCATTAATTTGTGGATTTTAACTTATGCCACTTACACAACCATGGATATATATACACCATCTTACTTGTTAGCATTCTCCAGAAATCCCTGCATCATCTTTTTTTTCTGCCTTGACCCTCCAAGTTCTGACAGCTCAATGTACTTGTTGACCTCTTGATCAAGGTCATTGCCGTTGATGACACTATGAAGTAATCTTGCATACATGTCTACATATGGCACAAGTCCCGGCTCGGGATGGGAAAGTTTGATGAATTCCACAGCGGACACTGCACACTCTGACTCGGTCTTGTGAGCATTTCGTATCACCCATGGGATAGCAGGCACTAAGGCTCCGATGACTACAAGCTGATGATCAGAAGAGCTCTTGGACTTCCTTATGTATCTATGTTGTAATAAGCAATATGGCTAGAAATTTTACACTAAATGTCTGTCTTCTGTGTAATATGTATAAAGCCTTTTGACGATTTGGGAAAATAACACAGCATCGCGAAATGGTACAAATTCCTTTGCAGTTTATAGACATGGAATAAAAAAGAATGTGAGGTGAAAAGTTTGATAAAACATCTTCAGGGAATGACACCACTAGAGTACAAATCAAGATTTTCTCAAAATAATAATGATAACCTTGACCTTTACAACTGATCTTATTATGGTTCTTAATATGAATGTGAACACTGATCTAAATCCTTCCAAGAGTGAAACCACTTCAAAACTGACAAAGAATAACTACAAAAAAAGCAGCAACCTTCACCTTGACACATTGTAATAGGTATAAACATTACTTGAAATCTAATGGAGATATGTTCCAAAATGAAATTGCATGAGGGATGACAAAAAGTTTAAATGTACAAATGTATATATATAAGTATAAATAAGTACATTTGGGATTGCCACAAGTTTGCTAACTTCTATCGAGCCCTTACCCAAAAAAATAAAACAATACACATATTTTCAAGATGGCATGTTACATACATATATATCTATATATACAGGAGAGAGAGAGAGGGTGGGAGAGAGAGAGAGAGAAAGGGGGGAAGACGGGGACAGACAGAAGGGGGTTGTTGTTATCAAATACATACATAACTACTTTTTAACATATACAAAGATACATAATTATACTTAGAATAAGGACAGTCCCCCTCCGACACCGACGGTAGGACTACACACTTTTCTATTGTTCCTTTTCACTCCGTTCGTCCTTGGAAATATGTTTCTCTTGTGCCGTCGGCATCGCAAGGATCATTACTTCATGCAAAATTTAGACTTTTATACTTAATTAAAACAGTTTTCAACTTAACTTGAGAGAGAGAGTGTGGCAATATAGATATAGAAGTAGGGGATTAGTTAGGACAGAAAGGGAGTGCACGTTATACAATGTTCAGAATCTCTTAGTTTCTACAATAAATTGTTGTTTTTGTTGCTGAACGGATAATTCAGTATTACCATGTAGTAAAAGCTGCAGGTCAAGTGGAATAAAATATTTTAGTTTGTGGTAGAGAGTAATTCTCTGACCCGCATAATTATTGCAGACAAAGAAGAAGTGAAATGTATCTTCAATCAGATGTCCACATTGACAGTGACGAAAATCTATTAAATTGGTATGGAATAAGTGCTCGTGTAGTGTACTTGAGTTATTTCTCAGTCTGGTATGTAAGATATTACTTTTTCGGTCACCAATTAGATAATACATGGGAACTTCTACTGCATTTTGCCGACGAAGATTATTTTTAAAAACTGTATATGACAAACTGTCTAATAACGAGATCTAAATGATTCCAGAGTCGTACTGTAGAATGAAAAAAAGACAATGCTGTTGACTGAAGTCGATGATTGGGCAAAGAATATTTTTAGGAAAATCGGAGATTATATCGGGAAGTGTCTGTTACAGGCGGGGGTAGTAGAGAAGGAAGATAATTAGATGTAAGCTTATTATGAATTTTATAGAATAATTGTAATTTCCGTCCAGTTCTTCGTTTGAATAGAGATTCAAAGCCAGATTCAAGATACAAAGAATTTCTACTAGAGTACGAAGACAAACCAGCCTCTAGCTGGAGTTTTTCTAATTTGTATATTTATATAATTATCAATTGAATATGCTGTATTGTCGCAAAGGAATAATTGTTTATGTCAAAGGTATACAGAACAATTCATAATCTACATTGTTCTTCAAAAATTAAACACAATCATGGTTTCAGCTCATTTCAGTCAAATTAAAATAATCTTAAAGTCACTTTCTTTATCATTTTCCTTTTCAGAATTTTTCAAGATGGAACAGTACATTAGGAGCTTAAATTAGGTTTTACACATATATTTAAATACTGATTTCAAAATATGTATCATTTAGCACAGACCCTTGGGTTGGATAGAGTGTATTTTGATGCTACAAACTTTCATGAAAATGTTAAATTATGTGACTTCTAAAATTAGTTAGAAGTCTGAGTCAAATGGAAACCAGCTTGGCGCTCATTGCTTGGCCCTAAAAACTAACAAATTTTCTTAGAAAACGTACCTTGCTTCAGTCCATGTTAACAATTCTGAGGAAGACCTTGGAGGATTTTTCTCTGCTGACCAATCTTTGAAGAAGGCACGATGGAAGGATTCGGCATAGGTATCGTTGTGTGAAGAAGGTGTTGTCATAAACTGAACATAACCTTCTAGAACATGGCCTCTCATTTCACGGTCGTCCATGACATTGGTCGGGTCAAGTGTTGTCATTGTTTTTAGCATCTGTATCGCCATCAAGGAGTTTAGAGTACTGTCCCCTGCCTTCATTCCTATGAATCCAACATACATACAACATACTGGGCCTTAACAAATGAAGTCTGTTGTTTTAGTTTGTCCTTGACAGGTCAGACAGGTTAATCTTGTTTGTCCGTAACAGGCTGGTCGTGTGTTTCTTTGTTGTGCTTAAGAATTACATTACTAACAAATCCAAAGGAAAGGTGTACAAGATAATAATGAGAATTTTTGGCAGCAATTGTCATTTGGTTTTAGAATGTTTGGAATGGTTATCTCTAAACAAATGATTGTATATTGATTCATAACGATACTTTTACATCTGATTGTACTGTAGCATTGACAAAATGTTCACATGGAATTTTTAGATTTGTAATCTGTAAGATATTTTTAAATGATAACAATAGCTACATGTTTATTAAACATACCCTGGTGGTAGTGTATCGATTTATCTCGACTTGTCCAGTACTTAAGTTTGTCATGGAGGATCACACCGCCAATCACTGGTTTAGATTTCTCAGCCCAGCCGGTCCTTCCACTGTTGTCTGTAACAGGTCATACGGACGTGGTGGCATCAGAAAGTGTGCCACGATAACATTATACAGAGGTGGTGATGTCAGACATTACGTGTGCCAAAATATCATTATACAGAGGTGGTGATGTCAGACATAAGGTGTGCCACAATATCATTATACACAGGTGGTGATGTCAGATATAAAGTGTGCCACAATATCATTATACGGAGGTGGTGGCATCCACAATAACATTATACAGAGGTGGTGATGTCAGACATAAAGTGTGCCACAATAACATTATACAGAGATTGTGATGTCAGACATAAAGTGTGCCACAATATCATTATACACAGGTGGTGATGTCAGATATAAAGTGTGCCACAATATCATTATACAGAGGTGGTGGCATCCGAAAGTGTTCCACAATAACATTATACAGAGGTGGTGATGTCAGACATAAAGTGTGCCACAATAACATTATACAGAGGTGGTGATGTCAGACATTACGTGTGCCACAATATCATTATACAGAGGTGGTGATGTCAGACATAAAGTGTGCCACAATCTCATTATACAGATGTGGTGATGTCAGACATAAGGTGTGCCACAATATCATTATACAGAGGTGGTGATGTCAGACATAAGGTGTGCCACAATATCATTATACACAGGTGGTGATGTCAGATATAAAGTGTGCCACAATATCATGGTGATGTCAGACATAAAGTGTGCCACAATATCATTATACAGAGATTGTGATGTCAGACATAAAGTGTGCCACAATATCATTATAGAGAGGTGATGATGTCAGACATAAAGTGTGCCACAATAACATTATACAGAGGTGGTGATGTCAGACATAAGGTGTGCCACAATATCATTATACACAGGTGGTGATGTCAGATATAAAGTGTGCCACAATATCATTATACAGAGGTGGTGATGTCAGACATAAAGTGTGCCACAATATCATTATACAGAGATTGTGATGTCAGACATAAAGTGTGCCACAATATCATTATACAGAGGTGATGATGTCAGACATAAAGTGTGCCACAATAACATTATACAGAGGTGGTGATGTCAGACATAAAGTGTGCCACAATAACATTATACAGAGGTGGTGATGTCAGACATAGAGTGTGCCACAATATCATTATACAGAGGTTGTGATGTCAGACATAAGGTGTGCCACAATATCATTATAGAGAGGTGGTGATGTCAGACATAAGGTGTGCCACAATATCATTATACAGAGGTGGTGATGTCAGACATAAAGTGTGCCACAACATCATTATACAGAGGTGGTGATGTCAGACATAAAGTGTGCCACAATATCATTATACAGAGGTGGTGATGTCAGACATAAAGTGTGCCACAATATCATTATAGAGAGGTGGTAATGTCAGACATAAGGTGTGCCACAATATCATTATACAGAGGTGTGATATCCAAGTGTCAATAACAAAATCAAAATAGTTTTCAACAACATGCAGAAAAGTTCTAAAAACCAATATATTTTTATAATAAAAATAGTATGAACGAGATATAGATAATTATAAATGTTTCTTTATTTCATGTTAATAATAGTATACACAATGTATAGAAGATGTAGACTTACCAGTTGCTGATATTGTGAGTATACTTGATGGATGATGTTTCTCGGGTGCTCTGTAACCTGTCAGCCACCCTCCGTAACCTTTTTTTATGTCATCGGGGTTATAATACCAGTGGACAGGCATGGCCAGGGCATCAGCGATCAACATTCCCCATAGAGTTGCCTCCCTTGCCTTTTGTACTTTATCAGACATGCTTTAAGTGGAAATTCTGACATGTTTAACGGACTACGAGATGTGTTTCCTGCATCCTAAAAGTATGGTATAACTTATTTTCCCTTTGCTTTGTTTAATATGGAGACAGTGTCTTCTCTTTTTTCAGATAATGTTGCTTTACATTTAGAAAGTCAGTTTCAGAAGGAGAAAGTAGACTTTTTATTTAAATACAATACAATGTAAAGTTAGTATTTTATATCTATATAAATAACATTGACCTAAGTGTAACAAAATGCATGAACAATTTTCTCTGAGAGAACATTTTTGTACTAATATCTGACTTTGCCAATTTTCAGTGTGCTTCTTTCATACATTTGTTTTGGTCAGCCATCCTATTTTTGAGAAGAATATTGTAATGATAGTCTTATTATAGGATAGATATGATACATACATTGAATATGGCGATTCTGAGGACTGCTGTGACACGTTGTGAAAGGTCTGGCCAAGTTGATGTGTTGAATGGGTAGATGTGTTGCAGACAGGGACTTTACCCAACACAAGTAGTTTGTTAAGGGAGAATGTTGTCACTACAGACGCTTTGGTAAGGTGTTGGATAATCTTCAGAAATGGTGACATCAACTGTTACAAAAATAAGACAAGATTTAAAATTTGCAATGTAAGCACCTATGACAACAAATCTGAACAACAGATTTTTGAAAAATACTTCACGATGCACTAGGGGACCAAGTCTATTACCACTATCTGTTAACATCCCTATCAACTGCTAATCTGTGTATCATTTGTGGCTTAGGGTTGCACCTGGGGATGCAGATATTAACCTATCATCCATCTTAAAATTTGCCCTGTATCAGTCCATCTTCACCAATCTTTTCATCAGTCCATCTTCACCAGTCACTCCACTGGTCAATCTTCACCAGTTACTCCACTGGTCAATCACAACAGTCTCGCCACTAGTCAATCACAACAGTCTCGCCACTAGTCAATCTTCACCAGTCTTGCCACTAGTCAATCACAACAGTCTCACCACTGGTCAAACTTCACCAGTCTCGCCACTGGTCAATCTTCACCAGTCTTGCCACTAGTCAATCACAACAGTCTCGCCACTAGTCAATCTTCACCAGTCTTGCCACTAGTCAATCACAACAGTCTCGCCACTGGTCAACCTTCACCAGTCTTGCCACTAGTCAATCACAACAGTCTCGCCACTGGTCAACCTTCACCAGTCTCGCCACTGGTCAATCTTCACCAGTCTTGCCACTAGTCAATCACAACAGTCTCGCCACTAGTCAATCTTCACCAGTCTTGCCACTAGTCAATCACAGCAGTCTCTCCACTGGTCAATCTTCACCAGTCTTGCCACTAGTCAATCACAACAGTCTCTCCACTGGTCAATCTTCACCAGTCTTGCCACTAGTCAATCACAACAGTCTCGCCACTGGTCAATCTTCACCAGTCTTGCCACTAGTCAATCACAACAGTCTCGCTACTAGTCAATCTTCACCAGTCTTGCCACTAGTCAATCACAACTGTCTTGCTACCAATCACCATACAATAGAAGGACCACATTTCTTTCCACTCAGTATGTCAGTGTTTGGCCTATAAGTATCCATGTTTAGTTTTCTTGTGATGATAGATGGTCTACAAAATTCCATTCCATCATTGTAATCTTTCTGAGTAATGTACTATTGATATACCCATTATATATCTCTCTGATAGTATCACAACCATCTCAAACCAGTGTCAGAGTAACACTAGTTGGTATCAACTGTCAGATATGACCCTCCTATAGTGAATTACCATTTGGCACCAATCAGCATGCTCATTTGAATTTACTTTATAGAAAACCTGATTATGTGATCACAAAATCAAAAACAAGCAGAGCTCTGACCTTTTTTAATTATACTGCTGTTGATTAAATTCTAATGGCATTGAATTTTATCCAGGACCCAATAATGATAGCACTGAGTTTAGTTGTGACATCACTGTCACATGGTGATGAGTGCATGTGGTAATTCCATATTCCTATTGATTGTAAAATGTAAACATACAGTCATTTGAAGGTCTAAAAGACAGCATTGTAAGTTGGTACTGTATACCTAACACTAGCACTATCACATGTGATCATTACCTCCAATAGCGATGAGACCATGATCCCCCTCCCACCCCAACACCCTGATCTATCCACACATCCTAATACATTATGATCAGTTTGAGAATGAGACCATGATCCTCCACCCACCCCAACACCCTGATCTATCGACGCTTCATAATATATTATATGTTTGAGTCTCACTGGCTTGTTGATTTAAACATATTTTTATTGTCATCAAACAACCGGGATTAGGCACAAGTTATAACAACTTAGTGATGCCTTCTCCCGAAAACAGTACATTAATCAACATATTTACAATATAATAGACTTAAAGTTTGGTAATCAAAATAAATATATATCAAAACAGAGGAGAGATGAAAAATGGAAAAGAATAGAACAGAGAAAGATTAACAGGGCCTGGGAAGGAGCAAAGATGAGAATGTGATTATGGACAACCTATAGGCATATATTTTTATCTGCCATTGACCTTAAAACAGATTAGTGCTTTTAATAAAAGTTTGAACTGACCAAAAGATGTTTCTGTTTTGTTCATCAGACAGGTTTGGAGAACCGTTAAGAAGAATATGAATTGTGACATTACAATAATGAGATATATCATTGAATAAGACTTCATGTTGTCTTAAGTACAACATACATTCAAAAAAATAATGCATTACATTTTCACAGACATTGCAACATGCACAAGCTGGATAATTCATTATATTAACTCTAAACAAATCATATTTTAAACTACTGCACGTGTTACGCAACCTTGTGTGTAAAACATTCAGTTTTCTATTTCCAACATTATAATAAATGGTAAAGTTGTTAGGATTTTGGTGGCTTTTTTATTTGAAGCAGTTGATGGATGGCTGATCTCTGGTACTTATTGGTATATTGTTCCATAGTCTAATTCTAGATGGAAAGAAAGATTCATAAGAAGTGGATAAGCGAAAGTTAGGAAGAGTATAGTTTTCATTATTTCTCACATTATATACATTACGTTCGCCTACCCTAGGAGGAAGGAGGTTACTTAAAAAGGAATGAGTTTGATTATTATGGACTTTATACTGAACACTGGCTTGTTCACCATACATGCTATGAACATTGTACAATTACATCCTGTCACATTAATATAAAGAAACAAAAGACCAAGAAATATGCTATGACCATTACAAAAAAAAAGAAAATTAAAGCACAATCTTTACTTAATATATCATAACTTGGGAAAAAACCTGGGGCAGAGAGAAAGGGCCAATGTTCAGTCCCCTCAAAAACTATCCCTTTTTATACACAAACCTACTTACTAAACTCCAAACTGCTCTCCTGGATCTTAAATGTTTGTTGTTGTAGCTGGGCGATTACATGAATAGCATCTCTACAAATTGAATGAAATTTAAATATGTTAACAAAAACATCATTTGAAATTCTTCAATTACTGAGAGAGAAAACACACACACAAACACCATTTTTTGTAACTCACTCGACGGGGTACTTGCATTTAAAGATAACAAACAACATATTAGCTTTTATTTAGGATGGACGTAGGCTAACTAGCCTCTACATCGATATGAAAATTTAACATAATTTTTAATTTTAAATGCTATTTAAATTGAGTCCACATGTACCTGTGACTTGGACCGGTTAATTTGTTATTATCTCGTATTATTTTTGCAGTTCTTTAAAATGTAACTCACCCTCTGCTACTCTTGTTCTTCAAAACTGTGTTACGAAAGATACACATCAGCACCCTATATATTTACCTTCGTTCCATCGACCGGGGATGAACAGTCATACTTATGTAAGCTTTGTTTTCTAGGCCAGCTGAAAGCGCGTACCTGGTGATGTTGTGAAACTCTTCTGGGCTGGAGGTATAATATATATAGGTATAAGGCTGTACCAATCATTCGGTAGGAAGCGGGACCAATTATCCGGAAAGTGGTATTTCAGAAACCCCCAAATATCTACTTCATATCTAATTCTAATAGATTACGTCAGTTAGGTATGTGCCGTTTGGCATACTGGTATTCTTTACCGTTGAGCCAGATTCCTGCGGAGAAAATGTTTTCGGAACAAAAGAGATATTCCTAATGATAGATGAAAAATAGTAGCGCTGCGCTCTTTTAAAGACTGCCTTTCGTTAAACTGAGAAAGTTATACGCAAACAAAATCAAAATCGTTTCTTTAATGATAAGTTTGATAGTCTTGAATTTATTGTTAAATACTGTTATATCTAATGTACCATGTAAAATAAATTTGTTTTGATACGAATTGAACTCCCTTACATGAATGCGTACCAAAAACCGTTGTTGTGATGCGACCGGCTTCCCACTTGTATATAATCACATCGAAATACGACTTCGTTCAGATATAGTATACATGTACTTTGCATGATGTGTGCTTGTATGGATTAGAATGTTTTAATTTTGCAAGTCTGGGTACCGGAGGAACAACTTACACTGTACAGTACTCACTCACACGAGAAAAGGACAAAATATACAGTTCTTCATGTGATTGAGAACTTAAACTTTAATTTCAGATGATCAAGTTATATTTATATAAACCAGACTAAATTTCACCGCTTTTTTTCACTGACTTCGAGATTATTTTTCAATAGATTATTGCTTCTGGTTTCGGAATATTGATGAAATAAAAGCAAACATATGTGTCTTCCGGTCAACCGGTAAAGTTGATTTTTTTTACGCTGCGCTAGCTTGCTATCGAAAATCGATGATTTTTATCATTCAAGTGAATGACAGGTGGAACTGTGGTTGCAAGATATATCTGTTACTTAGTTTTGTATAAAGCCGGAATATTATTTTCTAATTATTTTGCAAGAAATACGTTAAGCTACCGTAGCTATGGCAAGTAGAAGAAAACAAGATGGAGACCCGCCCCCATCGGCGACCAGTCAAAGAAAAAAGGAAAGTCAGCTGGAAAAACTTCAAGAGGAGCCTCGAAGTCCAATTCAAGAACACAATCTCCAGCTGAATCGCCCTTCAAAACGCCACGGGGAGGCGACAATGAGGAAGATGGGGAGGAGGCATGGAAATGCCAGAAGTGTGATAAATCATTCACAGACCCATTGGCGAAAATGTTAGAATGCTTAAGGTGCAAGCATCACTACTGTAGCAAGTGCTTAAATAAAACGGAGGATGTGTATAAATTCTTACAGTCATCTGATTCTAGGGGGTTTTGTGGATACTGCCGTGAGATGACAGGAAAGAACATTAAACTGACCGCAAGATTAAAGAGAGGTGTTAGATTATTATGCAGGCTTACAAGAGTAAAAAAGCGGCGATTGAATTGGAATTGGAGAGCAAATGTGATCAGGCAAAAGTCCAGGAAATTGTTAAAAAGGAAATTGGAGCTAAAAAGAATGTTGGATTAGCTGTAGGGAAAGGAGTTCAGAGAAAAGAGATCATTGGCCACGATGAAGATGTGGAGGGTACCACCATGGAGACAGTAATAACAGAGATGAATGAGAGGAAATCAAGAGAAAACAACATTGTAATCCACGGGATAGAAGAAGCCAATATAGATGCCAAAAGTCAGTGAAAACAAGAAGATACTGAAACAATTAAAAGAATTCTTAGATCATGCAAGGTTACAGAGGAGGTGAACAACATCTCAAAGGTTATCAGACTGGGAAAATTCAAGGATACATAGAGAGAAACAAGTGAAAATACTGCTAGGGAGAGAAGTGGTGGGAGGCCCATATTGGTAACCTTCACCAAAAATGAAACAAAAGCAGAGCTGTTCAGAAACATCAGGCATTTACACACAGCAGATGAATTAAAAAAATATACAAAATTTCAAACGGCCTGACTAAAACTGAGAGAGACCAAGAGGGACATCTGAGAGAAGAGCTAGGTTGGAGTCACAGTCGTCGGGGGAAGCAAGGTTCAGGGTACGGGGTCCACCATGGTCAAGAAGAGTGGTGAAAGTACTTCCTTCAAAAGGAAGTTCAAAGTAGATATGGATGGAAACAAAACAAATGTATATAGTGTAAATATGTTAGAAAATAATGTTTTAAGTCCAAGTAATGTTGCAGATGATGTTAACAATTCATCCCGGAGGTTTCGAGGGACCAGCAAAGATAAGAAACACAGTCTACTCTGTATCAGTACAAATCAGACAGTTTTTAAAAATAAGATTGATGAATTCAAAAACAGATTTTCAGCAGAAAGTGAACCAGATATAATTGCAATTACAGAAGTATTACCAAAGAATATGCGCTACACTATAAATAAATCTGAATTGGAGCTGCATAACTACGAGTTATTTCCTTGTGACCTCCCGGGATGTTACAAAAAGATTGAGTGCAGTAGAAATGCAATTTGAAACAGATTTCGAGGAGAGTGTGTGGTTAAAAATGTTATTCAACAAGGAAGGTACAATGTTATTTGGATGTGTTTACAAAAGCCCTTCATCCAGCGAGGATAATCTAGAGGCACTGAATATGTTGTTTGTGACTGCAACTTTACACATACGGTTTAAATTTTAAACTTCCCAGATATTGATTGGAGTGCATAGAGTACAAATGAAGCGAATAGTGCAAACTTTCTGGAATGTATCAGGGATAACTTTTTTATGCCAAGCTGTGAATAAAACACCAGACATAGGCATGGGCAAGAATCTTCATTGTTAGACCTGCTGTTGGTGAATGACATTGACAATATTGGTACAATTGAATATTTGGACCCTGTAGGATCCAGTGATCACTGTGTCATTGGGTTTGAATACAACTGCTTTTTCAATCAAGATCAAACCACTCAGGGGAGACTATGACACCATGCTGGACTATGACACCATCGACTGGGATCAAGAATTTAATGGATGTGATACTTTGCAAATGTGGGACAAAGACTTCGACAAAGTGCCACACCAAAGACTTACCGAGAAGCTCAAAATGTATGGAATAAATAAGAATCTGTGTGCCTGGATTGGAAATTTTCTTAAAAATAGGAAACAGTGTGTACAAGTCAATGGAGCACATTCTAAGTGGCATGAAGTAACCAGTGGAATACCCCAAGGATCAGTTCTTGGGCCTGTTTTATTTGTGATGTTTATAAACGACTTACCTGAATGTTTACATCAGATGTGTTTTTATATGCGGATGACACAAAAGTATACAGGGCGATTAAGGACATTGACGACACTTCGATACTTCAGTATGATATAGACCAGCTGTACCAATGGAGTGAAAGGTGGTTGTTAAAGTTTCATCCAGATAAGTGTAAGGTCCATCCACAACAAAGGTAAGACTATTGAGGAAACTAAGTATAGCACGAATATATACGACGGTGGTAGAGAAGTCCTGGAAAATGTTGAAAGCGAGAGGGATATTGGGGTAACCATAGACAGGCATCTTACATTTGAGAAGCATATACAAACTCAAGTAAATAAGGCAAACCAGATTGTTGGGCTTATGAGACGTAGCTTTATATATTTAGACAACAGAACATTCTGCTTATTATTCAAATCTCTGGTTATGCTTTATATGGAATATGCGAGCTCTGTCTGGTCACCGTATAAGAAAAAGGATATGGGGGCAGTAGAAAATGTCCAAAGGCGAGCTACAAGGATGCTACCAAATATGAAATACATGAGCTATGAACAATGTCTAAAACGGCTGAAGTTTCCAACCCTCAGATTCAGACGAAAGCGTGGAGATATGATCGAAGTCTTTAAAATTTTGAAAGGAATTTATGATCAGAAAGTTACTTCTGATTTGTTGAAATTAAACATGTCCAGCAGCACAAGAGGAAACTCGTTAAAAATAGTGCAACAACATTGTACAAGATACATTAGGAAATATAACTTTGCACACAGAATAGTAGATAGATGGAACAGTCCTCCTGAACAAGTAATCTCAGCCAGGACAACAAACCTTTTCAAGAACAGAATTGACAAGCTCTAGGAAAACCACCCTCTACGGTTTAACTTCATAGTAAGCTATCAACCAGATACCGGAAGGACAGCAATTCATTACGTGGTGTTTACAAACAATTCTGAGCTGCCTATAGAGGACCAGTAGGTCCTGCAGGCGGAAACATCTTAAGGTAACATAAGGTATATGGGAAGAGAGATAATTAAGTTTCAGATAAGCTGAAACAGATCGCTAATTATCTGCTCCCGAACGAGATCTGTGTATTGATTTCGCGTAATACATAAACATATCCATATATACTTACAGTTGTGGCATGCATCAGTTTAAATATTCGAAAAATGTGACGAATGAAGGGCAATAACTCTGGTCTGGAACAACGGTTGTGCTATGCGACTGCCAGGCGAGCGCAGTAGAAACTTGTATAACGTCCCCTCCGGCAAGGGACCATAATT